TGCAATGGAATGCATGATTTAATTCTGCTTTCCCCTTTCCATGTGCAATGGAATGCATGATTTAATTCTGCTTTCCCCTTTCCATGTGCAATGGAATGCATGATTTAATTCCGCTTTCCCCTTTCCATCATCGGGGACTAGACGTAGGCTGGGGTCCCACCCCTACGTTATGGATACTGCAAAGATTCGCACGAAGTGTTTCGCTTTCGCTTCACATTTATATGGCGAATGGCGGTGAAGTGGATTTCCTTACCTGAAGACTTCTTCCCTGAGCGCTATAACTTAGGCGTTTTCAAAACGAGAATGAATAGGCATTATTTAGGTGCACATGCTCCAACATCGATCTTATTGTCAACGTTTCATCGGGTGAGATGAGGGTCAATCATCAGGGTCATTTTTTAATGAAAAGATGTCCTTCGTGTCCAAAATTTTGACCCATAAAATCGACTGCCCCCAGTTACTTAATAAATGTAATATATGTGTCGTAGTAAGATATTTTTTGAGTAAACTAACTCGTCTATTTTCACTATCGGGGACTAGACGTAAGCTGGGGTTCCATCCCTACGTTATGGATATTTGAAGGATTCGCACGAAGTGTTTCGCTTCCTACGGACTTATTCCTCGAACGTTATAACTTGGACCTTTTCAAGGTGAGAGTGAATAGGCATTATTTAGGCGAGCATACTCTATTACCGACCTCATAGTCAATCTCCATCAGGTGAGATGGAGGTCGAATGCACACATAATATTTATAAATAAAATCTTTTTATTTCAATGATCAAGATCTGTTAAAATGCATTCATATATTCTAATAACATACATGGCTATGTTATATACTTGTCCGCAAACCTATTGTTTGATATCGCTAACATAATAGGATTTGATAAGTAGGTAAATCGAAAATAAAACTACTACACAAATTCACAACTAAGCAATATTGTACGGAAAAATTTAATCACGCATTCCTTGGCGACATCGCTAAAAAATAAAATGTTAATTTTTCCATTAAAAAAAATTTTTTTTTTCTGAAACTATCAACTTTTCAAGAAATTATACAAAAATAAAAGTTGTTAGAAATGTTATTACCTATCACTAAAAAAAAAATAGCTCGATACTCCGCAAGTTATTCCTATGTCCAAGAATTATCAATTTGGGCCTACGCCGTGGGAAACGAACTCGCGCCACCGCGCGCGCCTCCGTGGGAAGAAGGCAGCCCGAACGCGAGAGCGGTAGCGCATGCCTTATGCTCGCCCGTGGCGGCCTGTTCGAATCCGCCGCGAGTCGGGAACTTTAAGACGCGGCGCGAAGGCGCGCGTGGTGGTGCATTGCAGCCTGTGGCTTTTTTGCACTCATTCGGTGTTTGACAGGCGTTCAGGTAATTAAAATTATTAACGTATAGTATGAATCCATAAAACAAACTAAGTTCGATAATATTCAATTCAATAAAATGCTCTTATTGAATGATGACATCCACTAGAGTCGTTTCTTTTGCTTTTTTAAATCAAGTATGTTGTAGCCACTGCATTATACAAAAGTTGCTGCAGGCCCCGTAGCATGCCACCGCGATAAAGCTATTATATCCACATTTAGCTGTCAAATTCGAGAGATAAATCGGCATTTTAAAATTTTATCACAATGGCTAACATGGCGAGCGCTGCGACCAATGGCTGCAAAAGAATATCGGGGTGCCAAACATGGCCACAAGGTCACAACTGATTTTAAAACACTTTGATAGTTCTGCACAGTAATTTTATGAAAATTGGGCGTGACAAACGAGATAAAAACAAATAATAAAAACAAAACAAATTGATATATAAAAATTATTGAAAAAAGATGAAGATAACATTTTTAATAGAGTTCAATACATGAGAGTAGTTAGAAATACGTAACTAATAACTAATTTATATGTAAAAACTGAAACTACGAAAACCCGGGCATTTTTCTTAGTTCTTGAAAATGTATAACAATAGTTCATTACCAAATAAACGGAAGAACGAATGACTATATTACCGATTCAGTATTCGCAATAGAAAAAAAAATTGGCAACATAGCAATGGTAGCTCAAACCAGACAAAATTGGTGAAATTACAGGCACATGTGATTTGTCAACTTACGTCTCAAGGTAACAGGCGCAGTGGCAGTGTTCCTCAGATCTTTGCGGTTTAAAGCCCTGAGAGGCACTGCAAGTGTTATAGACAGACGTGAAGCTTACGCGTGTAACTTGTAGGCACGGCTTGTTCGTCCCGTCATTTGATATTATAAAATGTTAAAAAAATACAGACAAAGCTCTTGACTCCAGAATGCGCGCCGCCCCGCGTGTGTCGGCGCCATGTCGCCCGAACTTGCCCGTGGCGCAAGCTCTGTTCCATTCAAATTGGCGCTGTGCACACTGGTCGGGATTGAGACCTGCCCTTACAAAGGAATTTAAAAAAATGAAGTGCTGTTTTTCTTTCTACAACCTGTGAAATATATCTTAAAATAACATAAACCGAACAGTTTAATTAAATCTATTTCACCGCTCATCGCAACGAAAAGTGGCCTTGAACATTTTTAAATGTAAGAAAACCAGAATGTCTTTTAAAATATTTCATTACTGTTAAGCTGTGCAGTTATAGAGTTAAGGCTTATAAGATATTTTTACTAGGTCAATAGTGGCTCCATATGACCATGATCTATTTGACCTTGAACCCGCGCGTCCCCTTACAAAGGATATGGTTTAGTAAAAAAAGTAATATTCGACGACTTTATTTTGTGAAGTTAATGTACTTATTTTTATGATTACAAAAATAATTTATTGTTTAAATTCCTATGTACGGGGCGGCCGGTCTCAATTTTGACCAGTGCGCGGCAGGGCGCGCCGCGGAGCGTTTAAAAACGGACCGTGGGAAGCCGCCTTTAAATAAGCCCTGTTGAGATTTAGAAAACGAACCTTGATTTCAACAAGCAAAAATGGCGAAATAGGCAAGTTTTTCGTATTTACCAAATGACTGTTGCAATATTCAACAACCGCATCCTGAGCGTGTTTGCGAACCACTAGGACAGCCCAATGTTGGTCCGGTGGACGTCATTGCACGTTTCAATATGAATTAGAGATGAAACGGATAGTGATTTGGCCGGATACTGGATATCCGGTGAGCATGTAGACTGGATAGGCGGATAACTTATTACATACTTAACTTATTAAATAGTTTCACGGACTGATGTTGGGGACAATATGTCACCATATGGCGCAGTTTGTATTTGGGCGGAAAGGAATGTAAGTGAATTTTTGTAACGATATAGTTCATAGCATAATGAACTTTATGGACAATTGTGTAACGTACAAACTAGATATGAGCCAAAACGTTCCGCGGAATGCGCGAGCATTTTCGAGCATGCGCTAAAATTCCGCGAAAGATTTTAGCTCGTATATCGTTACAAAAATTCGCTTCCATTCCGTTCGCCTAATCGCCTATTGCATTTAGGAGCGATCACATTTTTTAATAACTTATTCCTACTAAGTAGTAGCCTCTCTTATAATTTGTCGTTTGTTTGACTCAAAGTTCCTTTTCCTCTTTAAAAGACCTGTAGGGCGAGCACGACAGGGCGCGACTGGCGTGAGATCTGTATGCGAGTACAGCAGTATCTCGCGCGTTATGTGTCGCTCTCGCGCTAGTCATACCCTATCGTGCTAGCCCTACTGTCAGCAATATTATGATATATCTACCTCTGTGTATAAGCTTGGCACAGTGAGTTTTTTTTATGACGACGATGAGTGACGGGACGAACAAGTCGTGCGCCTGGTGGTAAGCGACACGCCTGTCCGTAACAGTTTCAGTACCGCTCTGCAGCTTTATCGCAATGATTTGAGGGGCACTGCCACTCTGCCTGTCACCCTGAGAAATAAGTTGGAAGTCCCATGTGCCTGTAATTTCTGCAGCACATTGCACATTGCAGCAAGCAATGCTTATATTATTGCTTGGCGTCAAAAATAGGTAAGGTATACCAAACTCTTTGAAATGATGTTGGCATGATTTCCACGGCGGAACCCGTACCATAGTGCGAATGGTCCTTTTTTGCAAAATAAATATTTATTTATTGTGTGAATAAGAAATATTTCATTTTACTACATAATTTCTTGCTTGAGTAAACTTCGTTTCGTAAGTACGAAAAACTTGCTTAGCTCGCCATCTTGATTTAGTCGAAATCAAAGTTCGTTTTATACATCTCAGCCTTTGTCATTTCACTTTTGAAATATGGCTCTGGTACTGGTACTTGCCACAAATAAAAACTGACAATTAGATACAAGTAAGACTTTTAAATATCTATTTTCTCCATACAGAGCATCTGGGACTCGCTATTCTTTCAAAAGATTACAAAGTTCATTATTAAAGTGTACAGCGATGAATATTACTGGAGTATTGCGAAGAGTCTGATCCTTTTCACCTGTGGATTAAAATTTTACTACGACGCTAGCAACCATTTCAAGACGCAATGTCATGATCAAACTAAAATCTGCGCAGCAAGGAAAAGATACGGCCTATAAAGATTTCGGAAGAAGTAACAGTTTTATTTACCTAATAACGAAAATTCCAATTAAGTGTTGTCTACAATATACAACTTGGTTTACATTACAAAATTGGTTTTATTTTATAAAAATATAAGAATGTTGGTAATGAAGTAGTGTTAAGGATAGAAAAAATTAATGTAAAATAACCACACATTCTCTTCCATCCGTCTCTTTGAAAACCCATGATTAGTTGTGGGACGGTTATGTCTATAATATCGTTGTGTCTTACAGCAGTCATAGGGTAGTATTCCAGAACTCTACTCAATACTGAAGTCAGGATTTGAGCAGACTTGAATATGATTTCAAGCACTGGAAATACGACCTTAATGGCAAGGAATTGAGTATGATTTCTAGTGCTTTGAATCATACTCAAGTCCTGACTTGAGCATTGAGTAGAGTTCTAGACTACGACCCATACCTTCATAGCATTGTTCATGTTTATACATAGATGCTGGTTGTGAAGAAATTGCCGTTCCAATTTTTATAAGCAAACAATAAAATCCATTTGGAAAACGTAATAAATGATATTTACTATTGCAAAGTATGGACCACAAGAATTTGAAGAAAATTCCTGTAATATACAATATCAATATTAGAGTGATATTTTAATTATTTTCGTAATAGGTAAATAAGTATGAAGACACAAGTGACATAAAAAAAGATCACGTCAGCGTAATTGAGCGAGCTATTGACAAGAACTCGCTCTGAGGAAAATCCCGTGCGATGAGCAGTAGGTATTAATTAATACTCACAGATTGAGAGCTGACGCGTTACGTTTTCAAAAATAAAAGTATATTTCGCTGTTGTGTTGATAACCTTTGGTGGACGGCCGCAACGAGGGCCGGTTTTGTTTGAGGCATCACTTCAGTCGTACGCGGTCTCTGCTAAGAACAACTACTAGAATTATATATTTAAATGTTGTTATAGCCTAAACAAATATTGTAAAATGAAGACGCTGTGTCGGGCCTTCGTCACTACGTCGGTGCTCGTGGTATCATTATCTATTGCAGCCGGACGTAAGTACCATTTTGCATTTATTACCTCGGACATTATTCCCAACGTACCTACCTATTCCTTTGTTTTCCGTATTAAATGATAACCAGGTTGACCTAGAAGTACATCATTCTACGTTTTAGTAGATATGTAATTTTAACTAAACAAAAATGCTTTGACCCCTATTAAAACAGTTATGGATAACTGTTTTTGTGTAAACGACTTGTTATGTTATTAACTAAGGACGTAAACATGTCGAGCTCGCATGCAAAAGATAATTTTATTATAAAATGATTTTAGTAGCATGTCATAGAAAGATTATTGGTGTATGATATGCTCTTAATCTTACATAAATAGTGAGTAGGTATGTTAGTATTGAAATTGTTGTACTGTTAATATTCGACATTATGTAGGTATGCGAAACCAACATCGTTAGAGTATCAATCTAATAAATCGTATCTTAATGGACGTGTTAAATGTTATGTAATAATATTTAAAATACACAGAATACTCCTTTTAGAGACATAATATCATAACGATGACAAACAGGAAAACCGTTTAAGAAAATTTAGAAGCATTTACCACCACCTATATATACTTATATAAAAACTAATCGGACTAATTTAACGTCTTTCAATAGTATATTGCTTATTATAATACTAACTCACAAAGATTAGGTACCTACTACTAGCTTTCATACCTGTTTAATATTTTTTATAAGACTATCATACTGACAATTATGCATGCTTCAGGTATGATGAATTATAATGCTGGATACCACACGCCATCGTATGGCTATGGTAATAGCGGCTTGTCATATCAACGGCCTACAACCGCATCGCCTGCTTACTACAACTATCCTCATTATCACACCATGCCTTCTAGTGCACGCACTCCCCCTCCTAGCTACCGCCGTGGTAAGCCCAAAACGATGTATAATAGTAGGTCAACTGTCAGATCTGTAATAAGATCAACAACCAGGACGACTCCGACAAAAACGGCGAGGTTCACAAACAAATCATTTAAACGTAACCCACCTGCACGCCGCCAAAATGCAAATGTTGCTTTACCGCTTACAACACCTACATATCGCAACTCAAGAAACAGTTAAGTACCTATCATTAAATTTGAGCAGTCACTTGGAAGAACTAATAAATATGTTAAAACGTGGTTTTCAGAGCGCTGTAATGGAGGAGCGCCGTGTGTGACACTAAACGAATGCACACATCTCTACAATCAATTGCAACGCGGGACCACACCGCAGCTTACTGCGTTGCTCAGGAGTCTCCATTGCGGTTTCCAGTATGGCAATCCTTTGGTTGGTCTTACACATTTACTTACAAATTCCAAAAAGTAGAAACACAAACGTCAAAAAGTTCACTGTTTATTACTAAACAAAACCGGATGTCTAATTACAATTATTAGCAATCAGGTTATTGGAAATAACTATTGAAATTAAGTTTCCTTGGTTGTCAGATATGCTGCCCACCGGAATTTCATAATCCGAACAACGGCGGCGATGGAGACCAAAGAGCAGGATTTGATGCGACGAGTCTCCTGCCGAATAATCACGACTGTGGCATACAAAATAAAGACAGAATTGTTGGTGGCACACAAGCGGACTTGGACGAGCACCCTTGGATGGCTCTGCTGAGATATGACAAACGTAACATGAGAAATTCTTCTTATTAAATTTTGTTTTTCAGACGAGACCTATTTACATAATTTTGTTTAATTTGATCTTTATTATTATACGTTCTATGTGTGTACATTGGTATGAATGTATACCTACACGATATTTTACAGCGTACGGCTGGGGCTTTTACTGCGGCGGGGTGTTAATATCTTTGAGATACGTATTGACTGCTGCTCACTGCGTTAAAGGAGATGAACTACCTACTAACTGGAAATTGTACGTATTCAGCAATATTTATAATAATGTAAATTACAATAAGGATGAAGAGTGCTTAGATTAAATGAAGATATTGCAGGGCGTAACTAAAAAGGTGCAATAATACTATAGGACTTTATTTTAAAGTATTTAAACTTTTTCACTCAATACCATATACCTACAAATGACGAAGAAATAGAAAATAAAGGTTGCTGCTACACTTAAGACGAGTCACCGAAGGAGAAGCGGGAAAACATGTTTTGCTAGATCAAATGGTTTAGGTTATGGTTAAGGTGAATTCAATTACCGATTGCTACCATATACAAGCTGATTTAAATAGACTTTCGGAATATTATATGCGAAACCGTATCAACGTAAACACAGATAAATGTGTACAAATCACATTTACTCGCCAAGTAAAACCAATTTCGTTCTGCTACACGACCAACGGTAAACAGGTGCATAGGGTAAATCAAGTCCGTGATTTAGTTGTAACGCTTGATAGTAAACTGTTATTTGATAAACACATTGACTCTATTATTGATAAAGTCTGTAGGAGCCTGGGTTTCGTTATGAGAGTGTGCAAACATTTCGAAAATAGGTACATGTTGCATTAAAATGGTGTATAATGCAATAAATAAAGCTTACTTGAATTTGGTAGTGTTATATTGACCCCTAAATAATAATATAGCACTTACATAAATAGTATTGAACGCGTTCAGAAGGTATTTATCTCTCGCACATCTAAACTATAGAACAAAAAACAGTTTTTGTCGTACGTAGAAGCATGCAAATATCATTGCATGAATACCTTTGAAGATCGTAGAATTCTGCTGGACATGACTTTTCTTAGTGACGTGGTCAACAGTCGCCTCGACTCCCCTCGAAACCCGAAACCCCTCGTTTCCTCATTAATAAAGTTTTCTGTGTTCCTGCCAGTCGCACAATCTATGGCCTGAGTGAACTAATTTCACGCATCGCTAGCCTTTATAATACCACCCATAGCGACATTGATATTTGTGCGAACTCAAAAATGGCTTTCAAAAATAAAATTCTTATAAAATTAAATAAATAGACATTTGAATTGAAGTTAAGTTACATTAATTAATTAAAATTAATTTAATTTACTTTTTCATGCGCACGCGCAAACACATACACACACACTCGCTCACACACAAACAACACCTGTTCACTCAAACTTATCCATATACTAATTTCAATAATATAATCTACACAAGGAATCAAAAAATACTAATGCAAATTTCACAGTCATATAAATACTTATATAGCAAGTTTTTAGAGTATAAACATGTCAAAATTTATTATTAGCGGTAATTTGTAATTTTAATAAAATATTTGAGGTATCCTGTACTTGGTGTAGTTGTATGGATTGTTTACCTTTCAAGTTGTTAATGTATTGTAAGCTATTAGATGCCCGAAATAAATACATGAATTAAAACAAAAATAACATATAAATGTAACATAAAAAAGTTTATTGAAAATATCTATTTCTTTGTTATTTGATAGTTAATTTTTATGATATAAAATATAACATAAACATACTTAATATACATATACATATATAAAACATTATGTTACAATAGGATATGAGTGTTCACAGTGACTTTTGGCAATTCACAATTTATATTTTCGGCCTAAACTAACATATTAGTTGTTCATTAATTCATACCAAATGCAATAATAAAATAAATAAAATATGTTTATAATTTTCAAGTAATGGAAAAAAATGTTGATTGGATTTTACGTACATCTAGGTAATAATTAGTAAACTAAATATAATTAAAAAAGACTCAGCTGTGCCATCAGCAATGATGGAACAAATATTGTTGTTTAAGATGTTAGTAAATATAGTCCCGCGAGTTTGTTAGTATTTTACAAATAACCGTACATATAACGACATTTACGTGTTTAAATGAGGCAACAATCTGAAGCTCCTTGTGAGAGTTCGTCTAGGGAAATGCTGCCACTTTAACAATTTCTGCGCCAAGCAGTAATGTGAACATTACTTACTACGTTTCGGTTTCGAAGGGTAAAGGTGCTGGTAAAATTACAGGCTCATGGGACTTGTCAACTTATGTCTCAAGGCATCGAGTATTTAACCAGAAATAGAGACGAAATGCCATTTAATTTGTTTGAAAATTATTCTGCCACATCAAACTGCGCTCCGATTGCCCAGCCCGAATTCGAAACAATTGACGGGCGTCGTCAATTATTTCATTTCAAATCGACCAGTTTTATTTGAGCTTTGCTATAATGGACGAAAATTCAAAAATTACATAGTTTAATATTTAATTACCGTAATGAAATGTGACTGTTTGTTTTGTATTTAGATGTTTTGTTGTTTTTCCCACACCACCAACCACCAAATAGAACAGCCCCCCATAGTTGGAGATACTATCTTAATTACAATAAATACAGAATATTTTTGGAATATACGAAGACGTATACACACAGGTCAGTTGTTGGCGCTGTACGTATTTCCTTAGAGCATGGAAAAAAATAAATTCAGCTTTGTAATTTGTGATTGCAGCACAAACAAGAGTTGATATTTAAAAGTGATATCAGTATCTTTTGACGGATGGATGGCCCTTATTTCATCTCTATTTCTGATTATATACTCGATGTCTCAAGGTGACGGGCGCTGTGGCAGTGCCCCTTAGATCTTTGTGATATAAAGCTCTTAGTGCGCACGACTTGTTTGTCCCGTCACTTGGTATTATAACACAAAATAATAAACAATTTTATTAAGTCGTATGATACGTATGACCATACACAATAACTACCTACTCTTTCTAAATGTTAGGTCGCAAGTGCGACTAGGCGAATGGAATACTTCAAGCACAAATGACTGCCTGGCAGACGATTGCGCGGGTCCAGTCCAGGACATCCCCGTGGAGCAGATCATACCTCATGAGGACTACGACCCTAAGGACGCAAATCAGCATAACGACATTGCACTTTTGCGATTGGCCCAAAATGCAAGGATCACAGGTAAGGTATATGAGGTCTGTCCCAAAAGTATCCGATTGTCGTCCGTTATTCAGCGCTGAGTCCATCAATCAACATCTGGCTCGTGGCATCCTTGAAAGTGATCTCCATTCGACTGAATAACACGCTTCCACAAGCCGTTGTGGAAGTTAGTTTTCCGAATAGCTTTCGGTGCACTCGTCGTCTTTTTAATCGTCTCTATGTCGTCAAACATCGCATAGGGCTACATCGGGACTGTACGGACGTTGGCGAAGTTGAATAACCTTATTTTTCCAAAAACTGTTGTACAAGGTTCGATGAATGCGCTGGCGCATTGTAGTGGTCAAAAAGTCGAGCAATCGCCACTCGCCCAAAAAGGTGACCGTTTTCTTCGCACTGCGTCAGGCAATCTTTTCAAAACTTCACCGTTTTGTAGCAGTAGAGCTCCTTGTGAAAGAGTTCATCCAGGGTAGTACTGTCATCTTACCTATTACTGCCGCCAAGCAATAATGTCAGCATTACAGTGTTCCAGTTTTGAAGGGTAAGGGTGCTGATGCTGGTGAAATTACAGGCACATGGGACTTGTCAACTTAAGGGTGACGGGCGCAGTGGCAATGCAGAGCTTTACGATTTAAAGGTCTGAGCGGCACTGCAACTGTTATGGATAGGCGTGTAGTTTATCATCAGACTTGTTCATTCCGTCACTTAATTTTATTTAAAAAAAATCTTTGTAGATCGTCTGACCTCTTGGGGCATATTTATGGTTTACTACGTTCCCAAGATTAAAAATTTCGCTAAAAGGGCGTCGATTTGACGACACTGAGATGATTTAAAAAAATGCGATGAGTGCGCTGAAGGCTATTTCGTAAACAAACTTCCAAAACTGCTTCAGGATATGGAAACACCGGTGGGAGCGTGTTGTTCAGTCGAATGGAGACTATTTTCAAGGATGCCACGAGCCGTATGATGATTAATAGACCCAGCGCGGAACAACAGACGAAGGTGGGATACTTACGGGACAGACCTTGTATATAATGTTTCTGTGTCTAAAATGTGTGAATATTAATTTGACAACACTAAGGGCACAAAATTACATTATAAGAAAGAATATTTTACACCAAAGTCAAATCCTCTTTACCTAAGCAAATTACAATTGAAATCGTTATATTGATTAAACTGTACTACTCATTCGTAAGACAGATTCCTCTGAGAGGTTGTGTAATAGCTGTATAATAGCTAACCTTTAGTATAAAGTTATCGAAAAAAAAATACGTTCATCAAATGTATGACTATGGACGGTAGCATGTCGAGTTACTATGACGGATCTTGTTCCGGTGCTCTTGAAGCGATGTTCGAAAAAAGTGTTAATAGTTGACGTGCCGTTGGTTGTACAATGATTTACTATATAGTAAGTCAATGAACATGGATCATGAATATAAAATATTAGGCAACATCACATACAACTACTAAAGCACTTGTTATAATAATTATTATTATTTATACGGCATTTTGCTTTAAGGTAATGTCACCGATATCAATAGAATCTTTGTCCTGCAGAAAAGTGCGATTAGGGCAATTTACAATCTGGGCCCCAGAGTATCCAGATATAATAGACTAAGGAAATTAACATTCTTACACTAGTGTCACAGAACATTTATGAAAATGTAATTTATGTTAAGAGGAATAGTAATTTCTTTATGAAAAATAGTGACAGAGAGAGAATAAAAATAAACTAGCTGTTCTTAATAGTCGTCTTCACATAGTCACAAATTCATTTAAGGGGCAGTCTATACGCTTCTATAACAAGATTCCGGTTGATATATAAAATTTGCCATTCATGAGGTTTAAAACTATAGTGAAACATAAACTTTATACTAAAGGTTTATTATACAACTTCTGCGTACTTGGATGAAAAAAATCCGTGGTAGTAACCCGTTTAGCTCATGGAGGTAGTCTCGATCTCTGATGGTTCAAAGCAAAAAAAAATATGTTGTAAATGTTGAATGTGTACAAATGTTATTTACAAAGAGCAAACCCTAGAGTTTGTTGCTCATTCTTCTCAGGGGAATCTGCCATACGAATGAGCGGTAGAGTTTAACCAATGTGACGATTTCAAATGTAATAATGCTTACCCATGAAATAAAGATTATTTTGATTTTGATTTTATTAATATACAAAGATCAAACCCTTAGAAAAAAAATCCTTTAATCCGGCTGGATTCTCTTCTAGCAAACCGTGACGCTATGTCAATTAACCGGATCGAAGGATTTTTTCTAAGTATTTGATCTTTGTATTAATAATTATATAGTAAACTAGTGGAGTAATTTAAATTTTTTTTTATTTATTATATCAACAATTGTTGCACCAATAAAAGATCAGAAAACGTACATGCAAAAAAACTTAAAACTAAGTGCACAATCTATTTATAGACCGACACTACATGCACAATAAATTATTGCACAGTAAAAATAAACTCACAAAAAAAAGTGTAAACATTAATTTAACTATATAGATCATTTATAAAAACAAATAGTGTTAATATCTTAAGACTAAGTGAAAGCATACAAAAAAAGTTAGTTGACAGAGTTTTAGGAAGGTGACGACATTTCGCGCTTGGTTCTTACTGCAGAGATGTACTGTAAATCAATCGTTGCGTTGTGATCATTGTACAACTGGCATTGCCTAGCAATGAATATCATGGTGGTGGAAACATCCTTAGATTCAACAAACTTAATTAAAGCACTTGTGTTATGGTAATCGGAAACAACGACGACGACGGTACCACAAACACCCGAGACAATATTGAAAAGTTAGTGTTTTCCACACTGACCGGCTGGATTTCGATTGCCTCTCCCGATCGAAAACTGCGTCTTTTCCGAGTCGAGGCGTATAATATTTCGGATGGGCTACCCGATCGGATAGATTCCGATTTGAATTAAAATCAGGGCCCTGGCCGGGGATCGAATTCGGGACGTCAGAGATGAAAACCGGTGTGCAAGCCACTCGACCACGGAGGCCGTCGTAATAATATAAATACAATACAAGCAACTAAAAACTAACAATGTAAGATAAAGTACATAAATTGACAAATTTCTCAATTTCAGATTTCGTGAAGCCAATTTGCTTGCCTTTAAGCTCTGAACTCAAGAGAAGCTCCTTCGAAGGACTCACTATGGAAGTTGCAGGATGGGGTAGAACTGAATCTCGTAAGTAAAATACTATGAATAACCCGTATTAGAGTAATTCAATGAACAATTGTTACTTATTTGTACGCACACTACACATTGGCAATGGCTTTGGGCAATTACGTATATTCAGGTACTTCATTTTTGGTGTGCAGAATGGTTAGGTACTTTTTTATGATATCAAGTGAAGTGACGAGTAGTAAATTGTGCGCCTGGTGGTAAACGACACGCCTACTCATAATAGTTGCAGTGCGACTTACTAGTATTTATGTGGTCTGTGACTCAGAACTTTAAATCGCAAAGATCTGAGGGGCACTGCCAGTGCACCAGTCACTCTGAGGCGTAATAAATTTTACCAGTACTCTTACTCTTTGTAATGTTCCAATTACTGCAGCAGAAATACCTAAACGCTGCTCTAGATGAATTCTCTTAGGGTAGACCGGAGGCAAAAGTAACAGGGGGCAATTGAAACATTGTCTATATTTCGAAAACGGTCACTCGTTTTTACGCGTGTGTGCTTGTACTTACTCCTCAGACACGTTCCGTCTCGTATTTAGTCGACTGCCGGCAGCGCGTGGTGCGATGTCTATGGGTACGATCACTGACCTACCAATAAATGGACGTCGGGTTCGCGTTAAAATGTGTCCGCACCTGTAGGGCGTTAAAATCGCATACAGAGCGTCAGTCGCGCAACAGTCTTCGTTTGTTCGACTGACGGCGCGGTTGTCAATCATGCAGTACCATTTAATAATAACTTGTAAAAATTACTGCAGTAAAGTGTAAAAACAGGATTTTGTATCATATTTTCACTAAACAAATATATTGTGTTATCATAGTTCTCATTTAAAAGTGTTATTTTGTTCAGTTTTATGGTATTTAATTTATATATAAATGAATCATAAATATAAATTACAAAAGCACACAAAATAATCAAATAGCTAACTGTCCTCTTTCTACACATTGCATGCGCAAAAGATGGAAAGAGAAGATTACGTCAATTTCAAGAAGCTTATGTAAACTTCTTGGTCATTTTCAATTGTTCGAACCATAAGCGATTGAAATATTTGGAACAAAGAAACTATAGAGTCGTGTTGATTTTGATCTTATTTTTAAAGTGACTTTTTATTAAACGTTAGCAATAACTAACAAAACATTGTTGTACTCGTTTTACGGCTAGGGATTACTTATCAGAAGTCAGAAAATACATTTGCCCGAAATAACGTTAGCTCGAATTTTCATAATGCAAATGTATTTTTTAGGAAGATTACAAAACAAAAGCGAATTTTATCTTTGCGAAAAGCATCAAAATTACTCGGTAATGGGTTTATTATAAATCGGTTTTCGGAATTACGGATATTTGAGTTTACATTTAGTTGGAATATCGGTACATTTCTTATAATAAACGCTTATTTTCACATTTGTAGTAATATTTGTATGTATGTATCTGCCAAACTCTTTGTTTTATCTTTAAGTGAATTTGTACAAAATTCAACATAATAATATATATAAAAATTAATTAATATTAGGAGAAAGGCTACTCCATTACTCTTGTGTTCAAGTAATTTTCAGTCGAAGTTAAATATGGTGCATTTTGTTAAGTTTCCAGTAGAAGCTGAATATGGTGTTTTTGGGCCCAAAATTGTTGCAAGCAAAATTAGGCAGTACTGCAATGACGTTACAATTTAAATTAAATGTTTTAGTTTTCTATATTTCGTTACATGTCACTCCGTTTATATAGGTTAAGTTCGGACATTTTTTTCGTGGTTTTTGTATTAGACCCGATGTCCATTTGTTGGTAGGTCAATGGGTGCGATCCACTGTTATAGGTCGTTTTGTATTTCCATGTCTTCAAAGTACGAATATATTGATTTTTAGACACAAATTATTGGACTTTTAACAAAGAATTTACGTGTGTTAGATGATAACTAGATTTCTAAAGCATCAAAGATTGTGGTCATATTATTATGTGTATGTATTTTACAGTAGTTTTGAAGATAATAAATATTCTTCTCTAATACGTCCACTGGTGCAGTTGTAACGCATGTTCCGGAGGCAATTGTGACGTTGCAATTGACCCACTGATACATTTTAAAAATAATATGTTTTATTCTTAGAATAATAACGCATAGAATGATAGTTTCATATCAAACGAACTGTCGCAAGTGAGGCAAAAACCAAATTCATGTAGGCGTAAGCAACTTGTAACTACGCTCGTCGGCACGCACACAAATATACAAATAATGATGCCATGGAATAACATTTCCCTCAAAAGTGGGGAAATTGTATCTTGCTTAACTCATCATTAAGTTAAAGGTGCCTACAGATTTGCCCGACATTGTCGATCAGGTGCCTACAGATATGCTCGGTTTTGTCGATGAAAAACGAATATAGCACTTATTTGTAAATCCAAGATGGCGGACACGATTTTTCAAAATATGCTATATGGGTATCCTTTTCGAGGTATTTGGGGATGCTCATTACGAATATGGCACTCATTTCTAAATCCAAGATGGCGGACACGAGTTTTCAAATAAATGCAATATGGGTATCATTTTCGAGGTACTTGGGGGTGCTCATTACGAATATGGCACTCATTTGTAAATCCAAGATGGCGGGCACGATTTTTTTCAAAAAAATGCTATGTGGGTATCATTTTCGAGGTATTTGGGGATGCTCAATGTGAATATGGCACTATTTGTAAATCCAAGATGGCGGGCACGATTTTTCAAATAATGGCAAGTTGGGTATCGTTTTCGAGGTATTTGGGGGTGCTCATTACGAATATTGCTTTTGTTTGAACTGTCGTGTTTGCCATCTTGGATTTAGAAATGAGTCCCATATTTGTATTGAACATTCCCAAACATCTCGAAAACGATACCCAACTTGCCATTATTCGAAAAATCGCGCCCGCCATCTTGGATTTAGAAATAAGTGCCATATTCGAAACCTAAAACCGAAAATGCCATAAGCAAACATTAAAGAAAATAACTGTTAAAATAGATTAAAAAATCGCTTAAGAATGCTCCCCTTTTAAGAAAATAAAATATTTTAATATAAAATATTTCGCTTGAGTTACGAAAAGAAAGACATATAATAAGCTATCAAAGTTGTACTGGTGGTGCCAACACTATAGTAGAAACAAATATATACTGTAAATTTGTTGCAATATGTGCTCCAATTCAAATAAAATATAAATAATTATTCAATAAAGCATGAACGCAGAGCCGTTAAAAGTATTATAAAATAATTAAGTGTCCCAATCACTTACAGGAGTTAACGAAAACATTTAATGTTTATTCGAGTAAATATTAGTTCAAAATGCGCAAATAAATCGAAATTACAGGCACCACTAAAATTTACGTAATATAATTATTTTGATACAGAATAGCAAAATGGGGAGAAAAAAAATTCGTTACTTTGCAACACTTTCGTATCTTGTTGCCGCGAAATTATTTTTCTGTTTTAGTGAATATTTACATAAAAATATGAGTTGAAACGCATTACTTACTTGTGGAATGCGATGTTAGTGTCTATTTTGTTTGTCTGTTGTATTTTTACACCCATTTACCGCACATTTCGTCATTTTTAGCAAAAAATTTTGGAGCTGTTCGCGGTGCAATATGACCTTGAGCACTAACAGCCCGCGCGCTCCTGTGACGCGTTTGGAACCCTCTAACTTGCCTCACTTAGCGTGTGCGGGCTAGGTTTCTATGCGTTATTATTCTAAGGTTTTATTGTTTTATAAATCGACCAAATCTTAATATGATAACATGTATAACAAATCAATTGTTTATTTACTTATTAAACAGTTCTTTCCACAGCACAAACGTAAAGAAATCACACCTTTTAATTACAGCATATTATTTAAAAAAAATGTTAATTAACTTGGACATTGTGAAAATGCTCTAGTATCATTAATACGAGTAGATACCTTCTGATCGCAACTTCATTTGCACCGCAGGCAGAGGAGAAGTGCTAAGAATAAAAAGCACAGGTTTACGGACAAGCCCTTCCTTAGAACATAGTCTGCAAAAATTATTATATTGTAATCTGTGATTAATAACAGATAATTTAATATTATGCTCTAGGGGTAATTGTAACAGAGGGGGCAGTTGTCACAAACAACATCTCGTTCAAACTAAAAACTAATTTTCGAGTACAAAATTTTGCATTTAAGTTGATTCTGCATTCCTGGCCATAAAAAGCATTGCCATTCAAATTAAGACTACTATTTTTGTTTGTTTTTACATGTTTTTGAATGTCAGTATAATTAATAGTGTTATATCTCATTAAAACAAGACTGAAATGAGGTTCCTTTTAATAATAAAAACATTTTGTACTTTTCTATATTTACGTTGCGTTTTATTTTTTCAAATGGTGTTACTTTTGTACCGGGGTAGGGGGCAGTAGTAACAAATCCCCCAGTCTCACAAACCCTTTAAAATTTACATTTTCAAAGCATAATATCGAATAATCACGAACAAATGTTTGTAGCCAAATATTTCATTGTTTTATCTGACTGTCACTAGTTTTTACATTGTAGCGTCATTTTAGAAAATGGTTGTCGACATCACCATGGATTTAACTCGTGAAAATTTTCGTAGTATGATTTTCTACGACTTTAAGTGTAATTAAACAGCTCAGCGGAGCTTCGCTCGGCTTCAAACTGCTTTTGGCGATGAAGCACCATTCAAGACGACCTTTTTATAGCTGGTGTTCAAAATTCAAACGCGGTCGTGTGAATCTCAGTGACGAATTTTGTGATGATCGCCCGTGCACTGCTGTGACCAAGAAAATCATCAATTGGTTCATTCGTATGAAAAAGTGCATTACGCCTGCATATGCAATATGCATAACGCTAGCGGAGAATATTTTAAGAAACAATAAATTCATTTCTGACCATTTATAGTATTTTTTTCTTATTCATTCCGGAAACTTATAGCGCGCCTCATGTACTAGGAGCTCTTGTACTGCTACTAAATATACCACCAACCATATCAACAACCCACTAGATTATTGGACGCAAACTACCGACGATCTGTGAACTTGTTGTAATGATAATATCAACAACTCACCGCTAAATAACATCCAACACAGTTGTCATAAACTTTAAAAAGACCTGAGGGGCACTGCCATTGCGCCCGTAAACCTGAGATATAAAGTTGACAAGTTCCATGTGCCCGCAATTTCACCAGCATCCATAGTTCTCAAAACCGGAACGCAGTAGATATGGTAATGCTCACATTGTTGCTTTAGGTACTAAAGAAAAGTTCTCCTTTTTTCCAGGTACGGAATCCAACGTAAAACTAAAAGTGAGGGTTCCAGTGGTCAGCAGAAGTGAATGTGCAAAGGTATTCAACCGAGTAAGCCGTGAGATTACCAATAAGCAAATGTGTGCAGGAGGCAATGCTGGCGAGGACTCGTGCAGAGGAGACTCTGGTGGCGCGCTTATGGGAGAACAATTAGGAGTCTCTGATAACTGGTACGCTGTGGGAGTAGTGTCTTACGGACCCTCCCCTTGTGGTACTCCTGGATGGCCTGGTGTTTATACGCGTGTTGGAGCTTATGTTGACTGGATATTGTCTAAATTACGACCTTAATTAGCTTAATCTTCGGGCTAGTACTGGACAGGTGACCTGGACAGGCATTTACATACTATCTTATATAATGCTGGCTGTGTAAGAAAACTTATGTAAGAACTTAAGAAAGAAATTTGTACTCCGTTGACTGCGTTTTGAAGACAACATTTGGCATTAGGTACCAAATTGGCCATATAACTGAGATTATTCTATTTAGTACGTTGAAAATTGTGCACGATGAATCGCCGAATTCGAGCAATTAATTGTTGACCTTAGGTGTTCATCGAATAAGCAGAATATTGACTGAAATGTTTGCAACACCAATCTACTCGTTAAGTGCCATCACATATCACTTAAGTTATGAATAAAATATTTAATGAACTTTCTTATGTTTTCTTTTATTCCCTTATTCACTTTAAGAAATGCAATTGAAAGTTGTAAAAAATCAAAGTATTCAATTATGAAAAATAATAAACCACGGAAATGCTCAGTTTACTGTCTTAGATCCATGGTCCATAATATACAGCTGGTTCTCTAGGTTTTGAAAATTCCGAGCCGTTTGATTTGTCGTAATTTTCTTTGATAATAAAAAAAACTATTTAAGACTGATAACAATAATTTTATGATTACCAAGGTCCTATACTAGGCCAGCATCGTATATGAATCTCGGACATCCGATCTACGTCAAACATCTATTGAACAATCTATTGAAGTGGATTTAAAATATCAACTTTTACATTTTTATTTGGTCTCATTATCTTATGAGAAGTGATCATACTATAGAACATTGAGATCAAAAATGGCATCCACTCAGCGTTTGCCGAGATGTGCATGCAAAATAACTCTACGCTGAATAGGTACTTATACATTTTAGTTTCTTATCAAGAAAACGACATTTAATACCATCGAAGAATAAACCGGACCGATAGAAATATGTATACCTACACGTGACGACACGCCCTAATGACATTTTCCGCGTAGGTATTGATATCGATCTTGGGCTCGAGTTGGAGAAATACAAAATCATCATGAAATATATTGCCAATAACATAACTTCCGTTTTAACCCATTTGATTAATCAGTGGATTGTTACAAGTACGTACATATCCAGATAATTAAAAATTGGAACGGTAAGATCAATTCACAAAATAGGAAACTACACTGACTTATAATAATAACTATAGACCTATTACTATATGTATTATCATGTATAGACAAAATCATTGAAAGGTATTATGGTCAAGATATAAATAGATTTTTATCAAGTAATGGGGTCATTCACGAAAAGCAAAACAAAATTACAACACAGTTCTGTTAACATTGTATACAGATGAAGTAAGCAAAACCTAAATAACAGATAACATGTATTAGCTATAATGATCGACTTCGTCAAAGCCTTTGATACTTTAAATTCTGAAACACTATATAGAAAAATGGAGCAAAATGGTACACCATTGGAGTGGTTTAAGAACTACCACAAACAAAGATACAACCACTGTCAGCATAGCTGGGGAGCACAGCAACCTAAAACCGACTCTCCACGGATATGCTCAAGGATCAATACTAGGCCCAACTGAATATCTGCTGTATGACTCCAATACGACTCTGTATACCAATATGCTGACGATACATGTATGATTACAGCGCACAAAGATATACGAGGTTGCACAAAATATGATACAAATAGAATTTAATACATTATGTGGGTGGGCACATGACGTGGGTTTATCCATAAATTACACCAAAACAAAAGTAATGCATATTCATTCATTATACGTAAAAGTTAACATAATCTCTCGAGTTGTAATATGTATATACAAATATAAAGACAATTATGATAAACTATTGCAATATAATATTAAATGTTTATAATAAAGTAAATTTAGCAATTGTATATGAGTGAGTACCTACCAAGAAAAAGTTAATTTTTGGAGAAGGAAAAAAGACCATCAAGACTAAGAATATTGCATAGCAATCGTACATTTAAACTTCCAAATTATAACAATGTATATGGTAGGAGACTGTGGTCATTTGTACTTCTAGATGTGTTAAACAGGATACCAAAGGTGTTAGTACAAAGATTAGAATCAACAAATAAAGGTTCTGTATCAGATTGATTAGACGACACTTGGCTAGGAAGTAATATTATATAAGAGCTGTACAAGTAAATACAAGATTTTGGAGTAAGTAATTATGTTAAGATGTCGCTGTGGTTGGGATTTAGTAAAGTGCATAATTTTAGAAAATTGAATATTTAGCTAAAGCTAAATATTTAATTTTATCTTAAATAAATAATTTGTAATCTTTCGTAGTGGACAGTTTAATGGTTTAAAAAAATATATTGGCACAAAAAATACATTTTTATCGGTGCGTTTTTATTCATTTTATTAATGTTTATTCTTTCTTTCGTAAAACACTGGTTGTTATTATTTAACATTTCAATAGCACATCCAATTCAAACGCAAGTTTTTGTTTTGTTTGATTTGAAAACCTTGTTGGCCAAACGTTTTTCACTGTGGACACTGGATAAGGAGGTCCCGAGTTCGATTCCCGGAATGAATACAGTTGCTCTGGTATTTATAGTATAGGGAATTACCTAAATAGGCGCTTTGTCGTCGAGTTGCGGAAACCAGCCCGTTGCACCAAGTACCAAGTACCTAGTTTGAGACCAATGCAATTGGTGTGGTTTGCCTGGCACATTATTATTTCAATGGTTAGTCATTGCATTAATAGATGATCGAGTAAAAGAAGACTAATTTAATAAATTCTATTGTTATTTCATTAATTTAAGATTTTTAAATAAATGGTAATAATTTCCTGATTTTACATTTAATAAAATGGCGGTTATTTAGTTTTAAGCACAAGTAAGTGTCCTATAACTCGATAAATTATTTTTTTTCCTTTTCCTAGACAGTGTTCCTGCCGCTGACTAAGTATCTAACTTCAAAACATCGTAGAATTATAGCTGTCTAAAAATAAAAATGCGTAAATCTATTTACCTTATAACATTTTATTTAATAAAGTTATTTTATAGCAATTATGTTAAATTAAACGATATTAATTACATGAATGGCATCCAAACTTTTCAACCTTCCTCCACCTCAGCACCGTTCTATCACTCTCATATACTCACTCGTAAACGATTTTATCATGCAGTGTCCATATTATCTTCAGATTGACGAATTACTTTTGCACGTGACCGTAGCGCTAGTGTTGATTTTTTAACATCGGTTTCAGTGTTGTCGGTATAATAATATGGTTCTTTAAAATTCCGCAATATTTCGACATTTATATATTATTTTATTATTTGCAAAAGAGATAGTGTTCACTTTATAAGAATAAGTGTAAAAAATTATATATGAAAAAAAAAAAAATTCTTACGACATATTGCTATGTTGTAATCAAAATTTAAGTAAAAATATAGTAAAATATCATGGAGTACAATAACCTGAAGCAACCTTTCGTCATGTTCACCCGAATGAAACAGATTGGTAATATTCAGATTACTTTTCTCCATCTAATTCTGATCTTAATTTTTATTATTTAAATATTCTAGAATATTATTATGAAGTGTTATTTAATATTCGAGTGTAGTATCTTAAATTATTATTTAACAATTCACGATAATGTACATGAATAATATTATAAAAATTGCTACTGAAATTAGGTAGAGAAAACTCACCTGAAAATTACCCGGACAATTTACAGAATATTGACATTTTGGTAATAAAATTTAAAATGCACAACTATTACTATTAAAATTGTCCATTAACTGCATAAACGGGTGAAAGGCTTTTTGAAAGTCGAAATTACGTATCGATTTCAAACTCGGTGAGCTAAAATTTAATGATGATGACGGAGTAGATTTCTTACATACACATATATACTACACAGATACACACACATATAATATAAATGTATAGTCATTATGATACCGGTCCGTCTATCGGGCCTTCTTGTCATTGCCTACTAATTTATAGATGAACAGGGCCCCAATTTTGTTAATTTTCTTGAACCCATTGGTCACTGTAATTCCATTGAGACTCCGTAGAGATTATATTGCGGTTATGATAATATTTGTCATTCTGCTCAAATATAGTTGCAATGGCAGTTGAGTCTCAATAGTGTCAGTGGAATGGCAGTGATGGCATTTATTTATTCAATCACTAACGATTAATGTCGCAGATCGAGTATATAACCAGAAATAGGGACATAATATCATTTAATTTAACTGCCTCCGTGGCCGAAAGGGTACAATGCCGGACTGCCACGCAGAGGTCCCAGGTTCGATTCCCGGGCCGGGAGAAATATTTGTATGGTCTACATTTATTTCTCTCGTGAGTTTGGGTGTAATTTGTGGTTGTCTATATGTGTGTCCATGGCACCCGCGACATTGGGTTTATCTAGTGCGGGGCTATGTTGAGTGTGTGCGTTGTTATTATTTATTATTGATTTGATTGAAAATTATTCTGCCAAATCATTACTCTGACAACTGCGCTCTGATTGGCCAGCCCGAATTCGAAACAATTGACGGGTGTCATCAATTGTTTCATTACAAACCGACCAGTTTAACTTGAGAGTGGAACAGGCCCCATTGTTAGAGATATTATCTTCATTACAATAAATACAGAAAATTTTTGGAATATACGCAGACGTACACACGGGTCAGGGGGTCTACTCTCGATCTCCGTCCGACATCCGTCCGAAACAATTACTGTCAAATAAGTAATATTCGACAAAATTAAAAGACAAGTATCCAGTATGAAGCTTTATTCGCATCACGCGTTTTTTCGTTTTGCCAAGTATTGCATTTGGCAGTAATTGTTTCGGACGGATGTCGGATGGAGATCGAGAGTAGACCTCCAGATGTTGGCGCTGTACTATTTCAATTTTCTAATTTATGATTTCAGCGCAAACGATAGTTGATATTTAAAAGTGATATAAGGCCCATTTACCTGATGAGTTGCCAGGGATGGATGGCCCTTATTTCGTCTTTATTTCTAATTATATACTCGACGATGTCGCTTTATTAAAACTCCCATTGAAATTACGATGCATATCTTAATTTTTCTCTAGTTAAATCAGCACTTTAATCTTCAAATTAAATGTAATATTAGCTATATACGCCATCGAACAGCAGATTACCAAAAAAATGGTATGGCAGTTGAATAGGAGATCGATGGCTAATCACTGACCAGCCACCACTCTATTTTTTAGCAGAATACCAAAAGTACAAAAGTCTGTTATTGACACGCTATCCACACACAATGATTTAAAATTAGCAGACTTGGGGGCCCAGATTCCGTGAAACCATTTGTAATGAAAATGAAAAATAATAAAAACTATTCTAGTTGACCTTGGCACAGATTCCATTTTGTACTTCACTATGCTATTATCCTAGGAACATATTTTTTTTACTATCAGTCCAGATACATTCAGTGTGAATATTAGAATACGTTTTTTTATATTAATTTACAATATATAGTATTGAGTTACTTTGAATTAGCCCAAAGCCTCACATTTTATCATTACAACCAACAATTTTACGTAAGTTTCAATAGTAGTCCAAAAAATCCACTTTCCATTCTATTTCGCATCAGCCAATGTAAATAATAAAATCGTATACCTATCTGATTTAAATAAACAATAAAATCGTATTTAAAGCAAAAATTTTCCTTCTCAATGATAGCCATTGAGGAAATTCTAAAGATCGTCACATTAATTCAACTACTCATTCGTAAGGCAGAAGAGAAGAGTGAGTAAGAAACTTTAGGGGTTGCTATTTGTAACATAAGATAGAAGAAAGAGCTAAACGAATCTCTAATAAAGATCGAAGACCTTTAGTACAACAATTTTGTTTCACTATGGTTCTAAATCATAAATGGTAAATTTTAAATACCAAGTGGAATCTTATTATAGATAAAAAAACATACAAAGCCTCTTAAATGAATTTGTAAAGGACTGTCTACAACCAGTTTATTTTTATTCTTCGTGTTGATGTAATATCTATATCTACTTTTCATGAAAAAATGACTATTCTTCTTAACACAAATTTCATAAATGTGACTATAGTTTAAGAATGTTTTCTTGAAACTTATCTCCCAGATAAATGTGTTACGATATTTTGGGTTAATTATTAATCCTAACATATTTCGTGATAGTATATGTGCAGAATACATTTCAAATACATAGATGCAGTGTTAAGACAAACAGTTGGCTGATTAAAAGCACGCCTTCACTACGAAACAGCAATGCTGTTTTTATTTATCACATATCACACAAACATGTATATTATGTAACATTTATATAATTATATATTTATTTGTTAATTAAAACAGTGTTAAACTTGTTACATATAGTTATAGATAAGGAGTTCTTTTTACTTGCAGGCAACATTACACCACACACAAATTGTGTATAGAATACATACAAGTGGAATGACAATGTTGTAAATTTGGAATGTTTACAGATTAAGTCTTTTAATTGCATTTGCAATGTAAACATACAGTAATGTTTATCGTCCAGAGTTGTGTTTGAAGGTTTATATATAAAATTGGAAATTTTCTTCCATAAACTTAGATATCTTTTATAAAAGATAAATACTCATTGTAAAACTTACGGAATGTATATATTTTCTTACGAATGACTTAGAAAAATAAAATATAATTATACCAAAAGGAGAAAATAGATGCGTGTATACAAAGTTGCCGATAATTGACTTCAAATGCCTTGAGGCAAGATGTTTGACTTAATTTACATAAACATAAGTATATTAATTAATTATAATAATAAAATTATTATAACAAATGCTAAAAAAGTCGAAGAGATTCAGTAAGCATGTAAATTGAATAAAAAATATGTGGGTGTGGGGTAACATAATTCCCATTCTCATCATGTTAGGAGGCTGCTACAATTTCTACAGGAATATTACCCTGTACTACAGGAGCATCAACGGGTTCTTCAGGTACACTTTCTGATGCCTCACCATTACTTTGAGGTTCATCAACTTCCTGACATCCATTCTCAGATGAACCTAACACCACATCCGTACCATTTGTATCTCCGTTAACTTGAGGGCCATTGAAGATGGCCTCCATCAACTTTGTGCCAAAATCAGGATCCATCTCTGTTACTCCTTTCGCTAATCTATCCTGCTCCTCTTCCGACCATGTTGGGTACCACTCATTGAACAATTTGATCTGTAATAAAGAATATGCATAGAAGCAAATGAAAAGTGAGATGCCCTTTAGCTAATTTGATGAATCATCTGAGGTAGCTGGCAGTGGGCGAATGTGGAAGGCATGGATCAAAAATTGTAACACAACTATGATTGACCAAGTCCTTATAGGAGGATTTAACGAAAAAATAAATATTTTTGATAGAAAAAGAAATAATTATAACAAATATTTTTGAATAAAATAAATGCTAGAGGTCCTATGGCTGCTGCTGTTGTTTTTACTAGATATCAAAGAATATGGTTAAAAATATTGTTAAATAGTATTCTTAGTACATGTGTGTCATAGTAGGTATGTTTGTATGGTTGTATGATTACATTTCTCTATACCTAATTTTGTATTTTAGTTTTAGTGCAATATCATCCTATTGTTTACATCCACGTTATAAGTGCAATTCAGGTATATGGCATCAGTAATTGTAGTGAAATTTTAAAAAGTAGAACTTTTTTAGGTAGTCAAGGATTGGAGAATAAACACTGAAAAAAGAAGTTCTCCTGTAGGATGCTTGGTACAATAGGCGCAATTTTAAATAGATCTTGCCCAAAGTGGACTAAAATAGGTAATAGAAATGGTAATAACGAAAGAATAATACAAGTTACAGCTGGGCTGCCTTTGTGTTCTCAGCCGTTGTATGTTAATGAGGTAAGCTCTAGTGCAAACAATATCATTGAATTGTTATTGCTACAAGTTTTCAATACAAAATGGCAATAATAAGTGACCTCACCACAATCCACATGTTTGATTATGATATTAAACAGTATCATTATTATAAACAAGTAGAGATTGCACACATCTAACACACATAGGCATGCCAACAAATTTTATACATGCATAATTACATCTTACATGATTTAAAACATGTTGAAACAAAAAAGGTTCAAATTAAATTAAGGGATGATTGCCAATTTAATAAATAGAATGTAAGGTTTCTATAATAAAACTTTTAACATAAAACTTAAACATTATAATAGCTGAGAACAGTTGTCTTCTTTGTAAAAAATTTTAATTATTAGAAAAATAAGTACACATTTGACCTCCATCTCACCTGGTGGAAAGTGACAATGAGGTCGATGACAGAGCATGTATACCTAACTAATGCCTGTTCAATTCACTCTCGCCTAGAAAAGGCCTAAGTCATACTGAAACCATATTATTGTTTAACATAAACTCTATAAATGAATTAATTGATTGGATTGAATTGAATGTTGATTTAATAGTATACTTACTCTGCATTGGAATAAACTGACAGGCTTATCTTGACATGAGAGTCTGGCAAGACTTGCAGCAAGAATGTCCGGCTTATCAGCACGAGCAGCAGCGAGAATCGGAAGGAAATCTTCGCGTTGCAACTCACTGAACTCCCCAAACCACTGAAGGAGGTAGCGTAGCTGTGCCTCTGACGTTAAACCTGGTGCAGACATTCTGCGAGCAAATGATCTACGTTCCCCTGAAATGAACACCACAAGAGCATGACTAACGGGCATAATTAAAAATACATTCAGTAAATGGAATTTTAGAATGGCTATTAATGAGTCTTATGATTTTGTTTATCTTTATGATGCTAAGTGACAGGACGAACAAGTTGTGCACCTGGTCTTTGCTGCTTAGAGCTTTAAATCGCAAAGATCTGATGGGTACAGTCATTGCACCCTGATGGTTGCCCTTTTCAACTTGAAAAGTCCCAAATACCTGTAATTTCACCAGCACCCATACTCCCTCGAAACCGAAATGCTTACATCAATGCTTGGCCGCAGAAATAGGTGAAGGTGGTAGTACTTTCCTAGATAAACTTTTTCACAAGAAGCTCTACTAGTACTAAATTGATTATAATTAAACCTAATATTATACAATGAAACCTAATGATATGATATATAATAAACCTCTGTATAACGTTACACTGACTTACTGGTGCTATCTTTGAGGTTGAAAGTTGAATATTTATTTTAAACAAAAACCTGGACATAGTCAATGTACCAGTACCAGAGTTACCAACTACCTACAACAAGTAGACCTACTGTCATCAAAATCATACGTTGTATTTAATGTAACAGTATCAACTTACCCTCAGCAGCTGACAAACAGACAGTAGTACCCAAAAGGAGACTCATGATGAACCAACAAAAAGTCTTAAATTCTCTAACAACTATCAAGCGCGGCAGTTACAGAGAAACTGCGACTGATTAACTTTCTATAGCGAACGTAAGGCCCCAAGGTTAACTACCTCCCATAATTTCACCTCTCAACTTTATTATATCACACCACACGCGACACACGTAAACTTCACTTTCACGTAAAATTAACATTTTATGACGATTAGGAGGCATATCATTTTAAGTAATGTTGCACAACAAACATTAACAAAAATAAAAACAAGTTTCGCTTACCTTAACACTCTGAAAATGAGTTAGTAAATTTATTACTGAGATCAAGTTTTGGCCAGCAAAACGTTTGGTGCACTTGTTTCTCAATGAACTAGAATTTAATTAATGTCAGGTTAAGTTATCGGGGCACAAAAATGCTACTTCTTTCTTTAAATTCGCGTACAACGAACGAGTGACGATAAACGTAACCATAGACTAACAAAACAAAAGTCAGTTTAGTCCGGGATTAGAGGTGGGCGTTTAAACGAAAAGCACTTGAAAAAGTCTGCTTTTTAAAATAAGCGCATAGAGCACGCTTTTCATTTTAAGCGTAAGCGTTGGTCTATGCGCTTAAACGTTTTTCTAAACGACTTTTTACGCGTCAAACTAAAAAGCGTGTGAATAGCGCTTTTACAAACACGCTTCTTAAACGTACGTTTTAACGTTAAAAAAATAAGCAGTTTTTTTCCATTTCAACGGTTAACAACTACAAAGTTAAACAAGTTATGTTTTTGAATGCAAATGAACAAAATGTTATTATAAAAATGTTATGACATAAATAAAAATATTACTCGTTTTTTACAAAAAAACTTACTTATCTTAAAACCTTTAGTGGTCCAGTTTTGCTCTTTGCTATCAATACAACGTTGCAAGCTTTTTAACGTAAAAGTCTATGCGCTTAAACGTTTTCAAAACAATTTTATTAGCTTCAAACTAAAAATCGTCTAAGTGAAAAAGCGTTTAAAAAAGCACGCTTTTTTAAAAAAGTATAACGTTTAAACGTTTAAAAAATAAGCAATTTTTACTATCTCTATCCGGGATCCGGGAAGGTAGGGTTGGACTTAGTATTGCCATATTACGACGGCCAGGGTTCGAACTATATAATAACATGCAGTTTTGGAATTTGCAGAGATCGAGCGTGTAGTTACTGACTTTCATTCAAGGCTTGTGGATAAATTGTAGTATCTTGTCTGTCTTATAATTTAATTTCCCCTTTTCTTATGGTATTATGTACGCTATGCAGTAAAGCTCGTTGTGAAAGAGTTTATCCAGGGAAATACTGCCAGTATCTCTGTATAATTTGTGCGTACTGCCACCCTACCTATTTCTGCTAGCTATGGAACGAGTTGTATTTTTTTGTGTTAAGTCGCGAAAGTCCAGTTGACATGACTGCTAACTCGAGTTGCAACTCGACTCAGGTTCGTATTCCAGAACTCTACTCAATGCTCAAGTCAGGACTTGAGTATGATTCAAATCACTATAAATCGTACTCAAGTCCTTGCCATTAGGGTCGTATTTCCAATGCTTGAAATCATACTCAAGTCTGCTCAAATCCTGACTTGAGCATTGAGTACAGTTCTGGAATACGACCATCAGAGTCTAACAGAGCAACCGCGAGTCGCGAGCAGAACTCGAACCGATGCGACGATTCACTGAGTTGGGCACGATCGGCCGGCCGACCGCGACTCGAGCGTGCTCCGAAGGTCGCCGAACCGACCGAGTGAGAACAAATAGCGGACGCGCTGTATGAATGAAGTATTCGACATAAAATATAGTTAATAGTTCATAAAATGTAGCTGGAGTTGACTCGTTGCGGGAGAACTCGAGTTAAATAACTCGACTCGCCCATCGCTCGCGAGTCGAGCGTGCTTCGAAGGTCGCCGAACCGACCGAGTTTTTTTTTCTTCTGTGGCGTAGTAATGAAATATAGTACATTGTATATATAACAAGTGCATAAAACGCTTCATTTTACCCGAGACGAATATACCCGATGATACAGAGGAGGTAAAATGGGTTTTATGAACTAGTTATACACTCAACTTTTCATTACGATTGCGAGGAAATTAAACAGCAATATTAAAAATTAACGATTATTTAATTAAAATTGAATGTAAAATTACAACAATTAGACATATTTTATGTTAAGATTTTTTTATTTTATGCACTAGAGCATAAAATCCTATTTTTATTCCTCCTTATCCTTCCTTTTATCCCATTATTATTTAAGAGCATGAGAAGTGAAAAATATCTTTCTTCCTTTCTTTTATACAAGGATCAGGTTCCGATTTTAAAAACTATTGTATTAATATTGTGTTTAAATATAAAGTCATTCGATATATATTTTAATCACAATCTAATCGTGATTCGAATAAAAAGACAGCTATTTGTATTTGAAACTCTTTAATTTGGTATTTACAAAGAATAATAAAAGTTATATCTTAATTACGAAGTTCTACAAAAGTACAAAGTATACATTGCTAGAAGTTTGTACTTCAACGTCACGAATCGAGCGCTAACGAGCGAAATCAGACCTAAGAATACACAGTACGCACAGTTTACTGTATTTCGGTCCACCTGCTTCTTTTTCATACAATATCACAGACAAGTGTAACAATACTTACTAACGCACGTTAATACGGTAAAAATGTACCAAACAGTAAATTCTTCGTAGAAAACACTAACTATACAAATTACAATTTAATAAATTGATTAAACTATCTTGCTTATGTTATCCCCATTAGCACCTTTAGCGGTTCTACAGTAATTCAAATAATCAAATGATTTATCCAATAGCAAAAAATAAAAATGAACTGATTAAGTTTGTCAGAACTGCAATATCTAGAAAATAGTTTTCAATTCAGACGGTGGGACTTTTTTTATAAAAATCCAACTGCATTATTGTCGAAAATATCACATTAAAATGCACTACATAATAATTTAAAATTGAAAACTTTTTCACAGGTCGCAAACCAATGATATTATACTACTGTCGCAAACAGTTAATGTAACGCTTTTACATGAAGGTATACTACCTTAATTATCTAATTAGTAAATTTACGAAAACATTGAAAAATGCTAATATGCTAATAAATAATATTCTGCAAAATATCTAAGTAAATTATTTGTGGTCGATAACTTTGCATGCTTATAATATGCATTACCTACTTACATGATGTAAAGACTGTGTCAATATGAAATATGTAATTTTACAGCAACATATTTTTAATCAATGATTTATTTCAAAACGTACGCATAAGATTTTATGCAAATTGTTATGAAATTGTTACATAAAACTGAACTATCAAGAGTTATTCAATTGACTAGAGAGTGTAATCAGTTTTAAAACGTCGCGTCGCCGTTACGTCGTCGCGGCTAACGGTTGGCTATGTTATTTTAACCTTAAGCGACTTTGTTCTGTAAATAAAACTTTATAGGTACCTACTTCATACAGCATTTCTCTTTTACTCACACTTATATTATATTTTTTCTTTATGTTCAAAAGAATCTTCGAAAACGCACTGAAAGTAGAAAAACTTATAATTTATTTTACTGTTTTCTTTATGTAAATATAGATAGCGGTGGTGCCAGATGTAAAAAATGAAATTGTTGAGTATAGAACTGACCAGTGACCAACGCTTACGCTTAAAATTAAAAGCGTGCTTATGCGCTTATTTTAAAAAGCAAACTTTTTTAAGTGCTTTTCGTTTAAACGCCCACCTCTAGCCCTTCCTAGTTGTCACGCACACAAGAAATGAAAAGTGGCTTCACATCGTTTGTTGCGTATGCCCATTGTTTTGTAAACTGAGTATAAAATATTATTACCATTCAGAAATGTGAAACAGTCATTAAAATATGTCCCAACTGATGTTGCTTACATTTTACAAAATCTTTTACTAAATATATATATATATATTATATGTATATTAAATCACAACCATTGCTTGTTTTATAACAGTAATAAGGTTACGCTTCAAGACTGTTGATTGAGCGATATCAGTGCTCGTGGCTTTCGTGGCTGTGATCGTGGTCATGGTCGCGGTCACAACCGTGGCTGTGACTATGGACATGTCCAGCTGAAACAAAACATTATATATAAGTTTCATTTTAATCCTTTAATCACACAACGAGCGTACAACGCCTTGCGTGTAATGTACTACATCAACGTCTTTAGGCTTCTGTTGAGGCTTCCTCGCTTTTGCAGCGCTTCTGGTATGTTTGCGGATGTGTGTGTAGATGATTTTTGCGCAATCATGCATCAAAAAGTGATCACAGATGTTGCCATTGCGTGGGAGCACCAATGGTATCCTGAGGATGATAGCAGGAAGAAGACTCGGTTGTTCACCGTGTTACACGTGGATATATAATAATGTATTTATAATAATAATGTAATTTAATTTAATGTATTGCAATTGTTCTCCTTATTTGTACTAAATTAATTCATAAGATTGTTACTAACAAATATGACTAATTGGTCTGAGAATAAATGAATGAATGAAATATTCTTTAAAATTACTGTAAAAATACAATACAGTAAGTTAGGTCTACAGATAGTAAGTTAATGTGCAACAGGCGGCCTCAGGATAGAAATTTGGGATAAGCAAAAGGGGTGCAACCAAAGAATATCATTCATTATAAGTACACTACTTAGTAATTATTAATAAACTCATACAAGTACGTAGATAGAAATATCCATACAAATATTATTAATACATAATAATACATAAATAATGAAAAATTAAAAAGTATATAAGCATTTAATAAAATGCTTATATACTTTTAAAGAAAAACGAAAAATAAAGTAAAAGTATAGGATATAAATGAAAGGATAGTGGAGAAAAGATGAAACTTAGGAATTGAGCAAGCGATCCTTGACACGTTGTTTGAATGAATCAAGAGAAGGGGAACATTGAATCGATTCAAGGAGAGAACTCAGAACAGTAAAAAAGTTGGAATAAAAATTAGAGGGCATGTTTAGTTAGAGAGTATCAGAGGAGCGAAGGGGATGGCAGAGTGAACAACAGTGGAAAGTAAAGCTATCTTTGAGATAAGACAGAATAGAATTGAGTAAAGAAGGGAAAGAATATGAAGATCTCTACGCCGGTGGATGGGCAGCCATTTAAGTTGTGCACGAAGTTAGGTGACATTTTACATTACGAAGACCGAAAATGAATCTTAGACACATATGTTGGAATGAATTTGAATCAATTATTCAGACCATGAAATGGTGGAGAAAGCACTTTTAACTTTATATTAGTTGAATTTATCAGTAAAAGAACTTGTTATCAAGTTTTGGATCATGACGAGAATGGTCCAAATGTAAAGTAAATATCGAACGTTCTGAAACAATAGGTAACATATAATATTTTTTAAATAAAATTTATAAAAAAATCGTCAACCGGGATAGATATATGCAGCTGGCGGTGAAAATGCAATTTAAATAGAATCAGGGAGTCGCTTCTTCGCTGAGTCCTGGATTCAGATAGTACAAGGATAACAAACGATAGCAAACGAGGTATTTACGAGAAATAATTAAGTTGTTTTTTGTGTTTCATCATCCTCATTTACGCCAAAAGACGTTCATTGCTGAACATAGGACGCCAAAGAATGCTACGACGATCTATCCTGCGCCGCTTGCATCCAGCGGATTCCCGCAGCCTTCACCAGATCATCAGTTCACCTTATGGGTGGTCTGCCCACACCGCGTCTACCGGTACGCGGTCGTAATTCAAGAACTCTTTGGCCCCGTCGGCCATCTGTTCTGCGAACAACGTGCCCTGCCCATTGCCACTTAAGTTTTGCAATTCTTAGGGCTAAGTCGGTTACTCTGGTTCCCTTGCGGATATCCTCATTACTGAGTCGATCTCGCAACGAAACTCCGAGAATAGCCCTTTCCATTGACCTTTGATTGACCTTGAGCCTTATGAGGCCCACAGTGAGCAACCACTACTGTGTTAACTTACCAGCTAATTGAATTCCAAACATAAGTCCAAAGCCGACGAGAGCCGCTAAGTATTGCAACATTCCAGACCGATCAGACTTCCAAATTTCAAAGAAGATTACATAGAGTAGGGTGCCCGACGCTAGTCCTTGGAGAATTACTGAAGTGAGACCCGCTGCAGTGGCGCCCTCTCCTCCCACCAGCAAAATACCAATTCCAATACCCAAAGATGTTATCAAGGCAAATGTTGTGATATAGATAATGGACAACCAAGTCTTAGTACGAGTGGCTATCAATTCTACACCAATACAGAATGAAATAACCAACTTATGTGCAGCTATTGCGCCTAACATGTACCTGAAACAAGAGAAATATTAAACAAAACTTGTTTTAAAATTAGGTAGGTACTATTTTTAGTATTTAAATTTTCCGCCTTTTGATTATCGATTGGTCCAAACAGTTTCGCTAACCTTTAACAAATTTTAATTTTTTTTTTCATTGAGCGTTGGCTATGAGACCATCAGCTTGAAACTAAATAAAAAATGGACAACTTTAAAAATTATGTTACATCCTTCACTTAATAATATTACTAAAATTGATGTTCGTCTTTTTTTTAAATTCTACGAGTAATAGTAGTGTATGTGACTGTTACATAATGAAAGACATTAAAACACGAGTGTGGGTTTATGAAACGGGCCGACAGCCGATTTTCATAAACATCTCACGAGTGTTTTAATGCCTAATTGTTTACAGTTACATACCACACTGCTTTATCTACACATATAATATAAGCTCCCTATGATGTGTTCAGGAACCGCATGTTAAGTACGACTGGCGAAATGGCGGCAAATAAAAATTTTCTCGCGCATGTCGCACAACCGTACTTTTTATTTTAATTCATAGACAAACTAGAATCGGGCTCAACTATCATATCGTTCGATATCAAGTAACGTGTGAAATTGTCAAAATTGTTTGCTATTGACATTTCATTTCAAATAAAACTTCATCTCGGCTGATATTAGAATTGAGGTCAAATCAAATTGTTTTGTTTTTCAGAGCCTGTTCGAAATTTGAATGTAATAATAACATTGAATTCGATGTTATTATGAAGCAATAATAACATTTTCACAGATAAGAAATTTGTTCCAACAAAACAGTTTACTTTTATGCTGTTCGTAATTTGCTGTTTTTGAACACATTATACTTATATTAATAGAGAGTTATGATATGTGTGTACATAGATAAAAGAAATAAAATATCAAGCGACTTACCACTAGCGTTATATAGAATTATATAATATTAAATTTAATAGAGATATCTATTATCGAGTAGCAGAATTTTGATTGAAAATTTCATGAATGACAGTATTTCTAGTCGATGACAGATGGCGCTAGTTGGTTAATATAAACTGGTGCTTGTATTCCTTAAATATTGCACACTGAAAGAAACTATTTTGGATTTTATTTTTTTTGTAAACTTACCAGACATGATGAGCACCTGACTCCAAGCCTACAGCCAAGCCTTCGAATAACTCATGGATTGACAAAGCCAGGACAATGAGGAGACCACGTAAAGCGGAGGTGATGTTGTCGCCTGCTTCGACCGGCATGTGACTGTGGTGTGCGTGTTGATGTTCCGCATCCTGTAAATGAAACAAAAAATATATTGATTTACAAATTTCATCATCCAGCCATACGACGCCCACCGCATAAATTTACAAGAAGGCAAATTTTAGTGATTTTGTTGAATCGTGTAAATTTTATAAAAGTTCTATATCGTTTATAACAGCAAATCCACCATTTATTTACTCTTATACCACTGGAATATTTAGATGACTAATTAGTAATTTAAGTTCCATGGCTTCTTACCTTCTTATATCCGTTATCAACCAAATCAGCAGTAGAATTGGTAACGCTTTTTATGCCGTTCTCGTCGATGCTCCGTTTGCTTCGTCGGATGCTTAAATTGCGTACCAGTGGATCCGCAGCTTTGTTGTTCTTCTCTCTCCGATGGATATAGAGGTGCACTAATTCCTCTATTAAATACATGGTGAAGAAACCACAGCATGTCAGTAGTGGTGTTAGAGAGAAAGTTAGCTCTCGAATTACTCCATCACCTGCGAGAAAAAGAATAAACAGGTTGAGTGATATGGTTATAAGCCCGTGATCGTGATCGTATGAACTAAACTTACATTGGATCATAATGTTTCTGTCAAATTTTAAAAGCATTCTGATGAATTTGTAGAGACTCTACATACACAATTTGTTGAAATTCGCCTAAATTCGCCTTAGGGATGCACACGTAGGTACTTTAAATTATAGGTAACTCATAATAGGAATTAGTGGAATCAATGATAACCAAAAAACCTTCTATGTCGTTATTCCTTTTGACTTACCTACTCATCTTGTTACTCCTATAGTTATTGCCGTACAGTTTTTTAAGAAAAAGAAAATTTTTTATATGTATGTTAATGATTACTAATTACCTACACTAAGTTTAAATTAAATTTACAAAAACTTACCTACTCTAAGTACCTACACTAAGTTATTTCGAATTAGTTCTAAGTAGCATTTCTTTCTATTAATCTGTCAGATTTAAACAGCATGATTACCATCTCAACTGTAGAATACAAAGACATGGTTTAGTATGTGCCTTATTCACGTGCATAATGTTGAAATAAATGCTTTAAAATGATATTAGTTTCCTTAAAAAAGAGAATAGAACACAATGGATATGAAAAATCAGTATCAAAAAACTTAAGACACAAGGCCGACGTAAATAAATAGACATGTGCAATTAAACAAACAAAAATCTGATCAATTTAAAACGTCACTGCATAATTTTAACCGATTATTAACCCTATAACTGAAGTCGTAAAGTGAATTTTAAATTACAGTAGCAAATAAAATAGCTTACATTAGCATTGTATTGCGCAAAATGTTGTTTTACTTAATCTGTTTGATCCTGAGTGACGATGTTTAATGTAAATGATTATCGATGATTAAAAATAATAGTATAATAGTTTATTTAGTAGGGTAAAAGAGGGGAATCTTCAATTCTTTATTTTCTTACGTACTATTAATTACAGTACCTACTGTTAATGTGTCACCATAGCAACTTTGAATAAAAGATGAAGTTACCAAAGAAAAAAACAAATTTCCATTGGCTCCTTCGTTTTGGTAATTGAATGTACATTTTACTACAAAAACTGAATTAAAACCACTTGGTTTATATGTAAATGACATAAAAAGGTAAGCTGTGTACGAAGCTTTGCACAAAAAAGTAAAAAATCGTAAGTGGACGGCCTCGGTCGGTCCCAGGTAATTAACTCATCGCGAACGCAACATCGCGATGCAGTTGCTCATTCCCTCTTTTTATCAGTCTTTTGTGTGTCTTTGTTACTATTTACGCACTAATGTTGAACATTCAACAGTGCATATTTTAATTGCAGTTGGCCTATTGAATAATTGTAAAAAGAATAAAAAAAGATATTTTAAAAATTATGGTTATATATCGAGTTCTTAGGTTTTCGCGATTGTTACACATAGGAAATGAAGGTTTGATTGAAAAAACAAATATACACGATTTAAATCTGGAAAAATAGTTTCATTTCCTATGGTTATATAAATAAAATTAAAACAAGTACAGTAAACAGCACCTTTATCATTTTTCGTTACTTTGTATTTTCGTATCGTTATCAACGAACAACGGAGACTCGAAAGTCGTTTATCAGTTTATAGTTATCACAGGATTATTATCTTAACAAATACACGATAAGTCAAATCAAATTACATCGTTAAATTAGCAAAGGCTGACAAGATAAAGTTTGCCTGTATTGCGGAATTGCAAAGAATGTACTAAAGCGTACATTGATGCGAAAATTGATCAATCTGTCAATACGTATCTACTAAACCACCCGCCATTTTAAGGTCCCATAGTAATTGGTCGGCAATTATACTATTCAAGTCTCTACATCTTAAAAAATGTTAAACATATTTTAAAAGCTTGAATATTAGGAGTAGGTCTTTAAATTGATGAAATTGAGTACTTGAGAGAGGTGTCATGAATGCTGCACCAGTTCTCCTTGTATGGCTATGTAGTTGGACAAAGTAGCTGCCAGCGCATACACTGAATCGTAAATTTAGATTTTTGTTGTGTACCTAAACTAGTCTCTTGGGACATACCTTAGGTTCATGTCCATTGCTACATATTTTTGGGCAATTGTATTGTACCAAGGGCTTGTGACATGTAATTTAATAACTAGTGTTTACATGGGGTACGGTTCATTCGACATAACAACGTATGACATAATATATTTATGAGCGAAATTACGCTCAACGTATATAACATGGTCTGGCATGATATAAACTATCACTGGGTATAATAAACGATTCATATAACAACTTTCGATCTAATAAACAGGTGGTATAATGTACATTTTATACAAACATTTCCGAATATTATCCCAGACTCAAATTTATAAGCGCAGCGAGGAGGAGTCCAATAATCCTCTCAAAAGCACATTAAAAATTTATTTAATAGAACTGATACTATTATAATATTGTTATTATTAATACATAATACTGGTTATATTTATACCATTAATTAATTATTTAAGCCGCGGGGACCCAATTTTATTCGTATAACTTTAAAATCCTGGTTTTACTTTCTAGTATTTAAGCTTTTATTGACTTTTTTCCTTACGTATGTATTATAATAAACATATTTATTATAAACATAATTATGCTAGATAATCATTTTTTTTGTTTTTTTTAACGCACACGCTCATAGTCCGGCTATATTACTAGGCCATATACTAGGGAAACCCTATGTCGCGGTTGCCTTGGACACACATAGATAACCACAACTTACACCTTAAACAAACTTTCGAGAGAAATAAATATAGGCAATACAAATATTGCTCCCGGCTCCGCAATCGAACTCGGACCTCTGAGTGCTAGACCAGCATGGTAACCGTTCAGCCACAGAGGCAATTATGATTATAACACAATGAAATAATGTTTTGTGTTATTATAACCGCTTATTAATTTATTTCTTTGATATTATATCAAATATCTTACTTATTTTCGTACCAAGCGAAAAAAAATTTTGTTGTTATATCGATAATTACACACCCGTTTACATGGCATTATATAATGGAAATAATACACAATTTATGCTTAATGTATATAAAAAAATAAAGGATATTTATCGAGTTTCTGATCGCTAAACTTATATTTGACAGAAGTATGTAGTTAGCCTTTAGAGCCTAGCGAGAGAAAAAGGTCCGCTAGTAGGGTGTCAGCGCTGGTTAAAGGTAGTGCCGAACTTCTTTTCGCAGATATCGATGAGACGAATGTGATGAGTGTTACTGTTAGACTATGCGTTCCTTTATTTTATTGAGTGTAAGTGCGCATTTGACTTCCATGTCACCTGATCGAAAGTGATGATGAAGTCGACGATGGAGCAAGCACACCTACATAATGCTTATTCACTCTCGCCTTGAAAGGCCCTAGTTGCACCGTTCAGGGAACAAGTCTGCAGGCAGGGAATTCTACTCCATAGCCGTTCGCCATAATTTATATGGTGAAGGCGTAACGCTTCGTGCGAATCTTTGGAATATCCACAACATAGGGGTGGAACCCAAGCCTGGACACAGGAAGGGGACTAGTCCCCCGGTGATGGAAAGGAGAAGGCGAATTAAATAAAATACTTTTTGAAATAAAATCCTGTTTGAAATAAAATTCTTTCTGAACGCTCACGCACAGTGGTTCGTCTCATCGACTTTGATGTTGGGTAATGACGGGGCATCAGTACTGGACTACTTGGACGCTTAGAGGCTTCTGGTTTCGGCCCAGCAGATACATTAGCTCAACGGAACTCAAAGCCAGGTTAATAATGCTGCTAACTTAGAGAGTGTGCGTGCTGTGTACTGAAGACAGAGAGACTGGAGTGCAATCCTAGTAATTTTCCTGACTGCTAGTTTTCTATTGTTATTATTATACCGACCAAGGGACGAGATGAACAAGACGTGCGCCTGGTAGTTAAGCGACACGCCTGTCCATAACAGTTGCAGTGCCGCTCAGAGCTTTAAATCGCAATAATCTGAGGGGCACTGCCAAAGCGCCCGTCACCCCGCGACATAAGTTGACACGTCTCATGTGCTCGTAATTTCTCCAGCACCCTTAGGTACAGTTCAAAACCGGAACAATGCAGTAATGCTCACATTACTTTTTGACGGCAATAATAGGTAAGGCGGCAAGTACTCCCCTGGACAAACTATTTCACAAGGAACTATACTGCTACTAAACGTTCACTGAGGCTTGAAACCAGGAGCAATCGTTCAAAGGGTAATTTCATATTCTGATAAAACGGGACAGAAAAAGATAGAAAAATCTAGTTTTTCAGATGTGTAAGCTGCGGAGAGTTAGAAATTTAGGGACGTGTAGGACGAATCATGATAAACGGTGTCCTGTGGAGGTTCTCTGATGTGATCGTTTACAAGTCGGGATCGAATCATCGAGCATGTGAAAGTGTCTTTCGCGCGGACGTGCTTTTATACCATAATATGTGTTTGAGTATTGTACGTTTATATGAAGTGTTTGTATTTATTTGTTCTTGTGCTACAAGCGGAAACGTAATATTCCATCGTAGATGTTACCGATTATTATACAGCTGTTGGTTTTCAATAAATAAGTAAATGTGTACAATAGAGGTTAAGACAATTATTTTTCTATTTCTTAGCATTTTGCCGTAGGCAAGCGTTAACAGTAACTTTAAACGCGTAATAACTTTGTAAATAATATATTATAATACAAGGAAAACAGTTGAGTCAATGAAATAAAGCTTATTTAATGTATGATCATCAATTATGTTAGGCTTTTGTTGCGATTGTTGAATCGTATTTGTACAGATGAAAAACAAAATTTGAACGTGTGACTATATTTTATTCGAATTCAACAATAATAGCGAAAAATTTTGTTTCCGTTGATTAAATTGAGTTTATATACGCAATCGGACTTTTTTATTTATTAAATTGTTCATTCGATTACCGGCACTCACTTTAAGGACGAAATAACTCTGTGAGAAGTTAGGCAACATCGTTTAGTCATTTTC